ATGGAGAGGCTCACTTTTCCCCACAAAGTTAGCATTGTACAGCAATTCTGTACTTCATTCTCCATGCTGTTTGTAGACATGAAGTATGTTTTACCGTGCCGATGTTGTGCATTGTTACCATATTTGGCCGTTAAGCAGATGCGCACAACTTTCCGTACATTCAACACCAAAAGATGTTTGGGGAAAAAGCGAGGAAACATTATGCTACTAACAATGGTGCCTAAAAATACCCACAGATGCCCCCAATTAAGCGGCACCTCTCACGGTGTCTTGTGTGTGAACATCCACTCCTGTCTAGGGGAAAGTGGGACACCAGCAAAGCCTCTCTCAGTACATTTACTTAAAACGCATTAAGTGTTATCTGGAAAATGTTCCCTTTCTCACTGCTTCCCGCTAGATTTATTCATCCGAGGCAGAAACATTCCATGTGTCCACAACAGCAGCTTTATGCTGACATGGTTTTGCGAACTCCTTTTGATATACAGATCATTTAACTGCAAGCACACTACCTTCTCTTGAAGCTTTACAATCTGCTCCATCTAGGTACAGGGACGGATTGGACTTTCCCCCAACTTTGCTCGAATATTTTACCATTTAAAGCAATAAAGGAAAAATTACTCTTTTGCACTGAATATTAATTGATTCGTTCATTCGGAATGGGAGATGTTTGAAAGCAATTCTTCTCCAGATGAACAAATATTTAAAGGCATTTTTTACGCATTTTACAAAAAACCTCTGATGTACGTCATGAACTCCCGACGCCAATCAATTTTGTAGCTCAACAAAACGCAGTAAATAGGCTGGAAGTCCTTTCGATCTTTTAAGTCCTTTACGGTAAGAAAAGTATGCATTTTAAAGCGCTGCACTCAAAGAACACAATTAGGAATAAGGTAAGGCCACAAATTCGCATTTATGCATCAATTTCACCCGAGTAATGCGCTACACAATTCAATAGTTGGAATAGCTTGTAAATGTATCAGATTTCGGGCATTGCTTATTGGTAAATTTACATAGAATGTTGGGGAGTAATTACAAAATGTACTAAAAAGTTAGTGTTTATTGTTACCATCCTACGTTCAATTCCGGTAAGAGATTTGTGTCATAGCCTGATTTAACTCAGCCGAGCCGTAGGCAAATCACATATCATTCTGGTTGTTTGCAAGGATGAAATTAGGAAACATACTCTTGGGAAAATTCATCATTATTACCTTCGTCGAGTAGACTGGCCTCCAGGCCATGCCAGTAGCCCCAATTCCTCTGGAGCCTTCAAGGTAGTAGAGAGTTAATACAGTATTTCAATACTTCCTAAATCTGAATCACTCCTCATTAGCGGGGCTGCTAACACTGCTCCTAATGTTCATGTCCCAGTTGGCTGTGCTGTGCATGACTGACGCATGGTTGGCCTCAATATGCATGAATTATAAAATATATTCTCTTCTAGAGATAGATAAATTACAAAAAATGCGACTGCTTCTCGCAGTGAGTAATGCTTTTTTATCCTCTTCTTCTTTTCCAATAGGATCAAATCTGCTGCAACACCTGTCACAGTTTATCCGAAATGCAATGAAACCTGCTCTCCAATCACTGCTCTTGAGCCAAATGACTGATGGTGTATTAACCACAGGAGGTTGGTAAGCGCACCAAAGTCAAGCAAGAAATGGGATGGGTTCAAATGGGTGCACATGTTAGCACCCGCTCTCCCACGTCTCTCCATATCCCGACTACAAACTCCACCCTCTCTCACACTTCCTTCGAGAGTTGGCAGCCTTTGCTCCCAAAAGTAGCTATGCACTCTAAAAGTGACAGTGACGCCTTTTAAAACTGCGTAAACGTGACGGTCAAACAAAGTATTTAAGTTTTGACAGAACAACATCAAAGTTTCCATTGAAGTCTGCAAGCACTGTGAGCGTCTTTGAGGAGATTTAGGTACCTTAGCAAGAAATTATTGTGTTCATTGAATGCACTTGGCCTAATGGTGCACTGTTAACCTTTGGCATTGCGGGTGAAAAAATTCTTTCGGCTCCTCTTTTTGCGATGTTTGGTCAATTCTTACTCACATATCAAGTATGCTGAGCATTAAAAAACCGAATTCGTTCGAAAGAAGAGCGCATTTTTGGCAATAAGACAATGGCCACTCAAAATTGGGATGACTGGTACCATTGATTAATACAATTGTGAGTGCTCAAACCCTAAAGAGTACTTGATAAGCACCGGGTCAAAAGAATTCTTACGTAAACAAGTAAAATCAAGAGGGTTACCGATGAACCAAACTCAATTTGTAGTAAACTAATACCTAAAGCAAATATTTTAAGCCACTTCGCTCAATTAACCTCAAAGTTAATTAGGTTTAATTATATTATAATTGTTAAATTTTGTCTCATAATTTAAAATTATTATAAATAAAACTGCAATTTTAAGCAATTTAAACTTTATTTACTCAACAAGTAAAAAATTAATTTAGATTGCTCAGTTTTATTAACAATTTTTAGACACTAAGTATTTGTTTATATTTATCAATTAGAGCTTGCAGACCCTGACTCAGGGTCTCGAGATTCGAAATGCGCCGAGAGTAGTTCTGCTTTGGACACGGTTATATTTGTTGAACGCCAAACACCTCAGTTAATTTTCCAAATACATGAACCTCGTAGAGCCGTATCCATCATAAATGTACTGTCTACGCTTCATGTTTTGTTTGTTCAGAAACGGGGAAAGGTGAGCTCAGATGTTCATGACGATGTATACATCCTTCCCGCGCTTATGATATTTCTATTCGAACATAAACTCCGCACCGTCTGTGCTGTCATTATTACTAGCCTATGTGCTACTACTCGGTATACACTCAATGCCCATTCAGTGCACTCGTCCTCCGTGTTTCTCCCTGCATGATTAATGTGCAAGATGACAACCGCCTCCTATCAGTTTTTTTCCTATTTCATGCATGCTATAACTGCTTGTTTATTTAATCCCAAGGTATGGTAATGTAGTGCCAATCAAGTGACTCCCAAATTCTAACAATTTACTAACTTCTTGTGGTTGCCTTGCGAACTTAAACAAACACCAAAAAGACACCCATCCCTCACTGCGCCCTTATTACCAGTCTGTATAGGTCACAAATCCGATCCTCCTCTGACTGAATGTGAAATTTATTCGTATACTGGTTTTAAGTAAGCCGCTGTTAAATTTAAAATCCAAACAGGGCGTTGTGTTTCTCTCCTAGATTTTATTACTTACCAAAACTTATGCTATATAAAATCGACACACGTCCTACAGGAAGCGTGCGAGTAGGGCTAGAAGCTGGCGTCCGAAAAATCGTTGGGCACTGAGTGAAGGAAAGCACATGAGTAAACAGGCATTGGTTTGTTTGTTTGTTTCAAACAAGTCCAAATCCTTCTGTGTTCTCGATGGCTTGCATAAATTTTGTTTTCAAAATCTCCATACTACTGTACTTGGGCAGATCAAGAATATTGTAGCAGGTGTGGGCTACGGGTAAAAAGTCATCTCCACTGCTATTTGGTTGGATTGTAATCTAAATTAGAAAAAAAGATAACGTATCCTGTATTTTTGAGCATTCGTTCGAAATGCCATTGAAATGTCCAGTTGCCACAGCTTTAAACAACTTACGAAAATTCATTTCGTAAAATAGTAAGGTTACTGTGTGCATTTATTAGTAATCCTATCCAATGGAGTTATGACCTATCCATTGAGAAGTTCGCTCGTAAGTCTAAAATGTTGCAACAAAGTGACAAGGAGAAAAGATGACGATTCCGTGTGATAAACTATGAATTAGATCTTTAGCATTTAAGGACGGTCAACCCAAAACGAACTACTAGCCAGTAAATTCCGCCTTATGCTGGAATGCGAAGTTAAGGTACGTACCTTGATTCCAGGAAGGCCTACAATTGGCACGCGATCACAACCAGTAAGGAACCTGAGGAAATTTTTCTTCTGCCTTAAATTGCATTGATTCAAAAGCACCTCCCAGAACCACTTGATGACTGGGTGCTGGTCCCAGTACTCTCCTTGATAACTGGTGTTTTTCCGCAGATCCTGCCAGTCTATGTCCTCTGAACCCACCACCATACTCTTGAAGAACGAAAAATCGAGAAAGTCCTCGTCATTAAGGCGTCTTTGTTTTGAAATCTGTGGGTATGTATTTGTCTTAATTTCCCCAATTAGCCTGTTTGGCATCGCGGATAGTGCTGAGTACAGCAATTAAGACTACCGCCGAAGCATTTTATGACTCCAAGATTTTAATTAAAAACACTAAAGCCAAAATGTGTCAGACGATTTGGTCTCTTTAACGTAATGAATCATGGGTACATTCACACACGTAAGGCACTGCTAACTACGGGCCCAAAAACAAATGTACTTTTGTTACTCAGTCGAAGGCATGATTTGAAAGGTTAAATGGGTTTTTTGGAATGCGTCGACCCTAAAACCCAAAGCGAGACCGCCTGTAGACTGAATACTCGCTGTGGGAGCACGACATTTAGAGCATTATCTAGCTTGTTAGACTTACATGCAGCTCACTAGGTTGAAACATTTTAATGACATATCCCGAGCAGACATTGAAGAAACCGGATTTGAAAGCCTCAAAAACGGATTGGCAGCTCTTGTTGAACCTGAAATCGAGGTATTTCTCTACGTATTCTTGCTTGTTTTCTTGATTTACCGCTATTTCGCCACCTGAGGGAATGAGGGGAATGCGTTCGAGTGCACCGTAATTATCCACTGTTATCTATAGAACGAAGAAGGGAGGCTTCAGATTGCCGCTTTTGACATGCTTCATGTACGCAATAACCCCAGAGACGAGGCGGTGGTTGCAAGCACTTTTCAAATGCATACGCTCACACATGTCTACTGTTGGTTCACATCGAGAGTGTTATACTCAAAACCCAAACTTCTTCCACACAGTATCTAGAAGCAATGGGATTGGGGAACTAAGTAGAAGTTTTTTTAATAGCTTTCATATCACTTAAGGCGCCACACTAAAGTGCGCCGAATCACAGATGTAGGAGGTTGCTTTTAGTCAGTTTCAAAAAGGAATAATGAGATACGCAGATTCGTCTGGCTGCCTAGGGGCGAGCGGGCGCAAGGTGCACTAACAGACCGCTTACGGCTCTGCTTAAATTTGTTTGACATCTGATATCCTTGTGTAGTGAGCAAAACTATCTAAGATTCAGACAGAATAAGTGGTAATTTGATGGCTTCATCGAGTTCATGTCTCTCAGGCATCCTTGCGTAGCATCGACAACATAGCAAATGGCCTCACCTCAAAGGTAAGGCAAAAGGCATCCTCCAAATCGTCCTCTTCGTAGTCCAACAGCATCTGCAGAGACCTCCCTACCACGGGATCTAACTCTTTGAGGTCCTCCAGCGTAGGCTCCTCATCTAATAGTTTTTTAAACAGTGCTGTGGGAAAGCAGAGGTCTATAATGATGGAGTTGTAGATAGCCAGACCACATAGTGCACCGACCATGTTAAACATCGATGGCGATTCCATATTCTGTGAAGTAGAAGTTAGCAGAAGTTTAGAGCGATCGAGAGTTCAAACATCCATGGTCCTGCATTCAATAATCATCTCTAACTTTCACGTCAAGTAATCGAGTTTTTTGTCTTAGTAAGGTAATCGTAAGTGTCTGTGCTCCAGATAGATTG